CATGTGGTCAATCATAACAACATTATTGTAACAGCATATCCATGATAGCTCGAATGAACTGGTCAATAGACTAACAAAAATCTTCAAAATGTGTCATGGATGTCAGAAAACCAAAACGTCAGGCCAAGATGAAAATCTTAAAATGGAGAACTTGCAAATGTGGAATCAGATTCAGAAGCTATTTTTTACCATACCTTGGGTATGTGCTGAGGAGTACCACATGCATTGTAGTGTAAACATATTTTATTCAAAATAAATTGAACCAGGATTGGTAAACAAGCCATAATGGCTTATTTGAATACCTCTCCATTTCATTGATACATGAATAAAACAAATATTAAATAATATGCAGCATGATAGGAAAGCAAGCAACCTGCGTATTAAACATTATTAATCATTTATCAAACCTATGCGATTTTATTATAAAAGTATGGACAGATTGTAGTATGAAAGAATTTACAAGTTCATTTTTGTTTGGATTTCCATTTAGGACAGAATTTAAATTATATCCATGTTCGTAAAAATACATGCGATGTCTGATGTTAGAATAATTAAGACAAGTAAAGAAGTAATGTAAAGTATCCTCATAGGGGTGACCACAGGGACAGAATGGATCAACTGAAATGTGCCGTTCAAACATGTGCACTTTCAAATTACTGCACCCAAGTCTGAAGTGTGAGTGGATAATTTTGCAGAAACGTGTACCAAAGTTTTTATCAAATATATTAAAATTGAGTGGTTTTGATGATTGGAATGCATTTTTGAATTGGCCTATAGTTTCAATATCGTACATACTCTCAGGCAAGTCATTCCATTGTCGTATTGTATCTGGTAAAAATGAGTTGCTATACAAATCACTACGACATCTCATAGTTTGAATGTTATTACTGTTTCTTAATCTATGGTCACTTAAATGTGATACTTTTTCGGGCAGTAGATCAGTTAAATAAACTGGTATCATATGATGAACCATTTTGTAAAATAATGATAACTTGTTAATTTGTCTACTGTCAACTAAGGATGAGAGTTAGTTTCCTTATATATTAAATCATGACTTGTTCCTCTAACTGCTCCGCAAACCGTCCGCAGTGCGTCTAAATGTAGATTTTTGACAAGTTTTACTTGTTGTTTAGTACAGTTATCCCAAAGGTGCGAACAGTAATCGAACATTGGTAATATATATGACTTGTACATTTGCTCTAATGATTTTCTAGATAATCTATATTTAAAACTACGTAGACAATTTACCAATGGACGAACCTTTTTGACTAAATCACCAATGTGGGAGTTCCATTTACAGTCTGATTGCAAGGTTACTCCTAGGTGTTTATGGTAGCCGATTTCAGTAACGTCTGCTCCATGCATTTTAAGCTTAGGAATTGGAAATTGATTACCAGTATTTCTGCGAGTGAATAAAACAGCTTCAGTCTTACCAGGATTAAAGCTAACCTGCCATATTTCAGCCCAGTGAGAGATCCTGTTTAGGTCATTATTTAAGGAAGCGGCAGTAACAACATGATTATCAACAATAGCATATACCGAAGTATCATCGGCAAAAAGACGAATGTTACTACTGATACCCTCAATGATATCATTTATGTAAACTAAAAACAGTAATGGCCCAAGAACAGATCCTTGTGGCACCCCCGCAGTGACTTTCTTTAGATCTGAATTGTAATGGTCTATAGCTACTCTCTGTAATCTATTGTCAAGATAACTGGAAAACCAATCAAGTAACTTACCCTTAATACCATAAGCTTCTAATTTCGCTATGATTCCCTTATGTCAAACCTTGTCAAAAGCCTTGCTTATGTCACAGAAAACTGCCCTGACTTCTTTGCCATTGTCTAATGCATGTAGTATAAAATCATACAATTATGTCAGTTGGTATACAGTGACTGCAAATTGGTCAATATGTTATTATCTAAAAAAAAGTTAAACACATGTTTAAAAATACATTTCTCAAATACCTTTGATAAACAGCTGGTAAGAGCAACTGGTCTGTAGTTTTTACATTCATTAAAACTACCTTTTTTATGAATAGGAGTGACAATAGCTTCCTTCTATATTGTTGGGAATTTACAATATTCTAGGGATAAATTGAATAGATTAGTAAGAGGAGTACAAAGGGATGGCACAATCATTTTGATAAATCTGTTACCTATTTTGTCTGGTCCACTGGCTTTGGAAATATCAACTGATAATAGGATGTCTCTTACTTCTTGTGTAGTCAATACAATAGACTCAAGTGAAGTCTTTACTTTACATTCAAGTGTAGGAGTCTCCTTATCAGGATAGTCACCTTGTGCATGGTTAGCAAAATATTCATTAAATATATTTGCTTTATCTTTACTATCATTGATCAGATTATCGTTATGAATAATCGAAGGACATTTCTTATAATCTCCATATTTGGATTTTATATACTTGTTCACTAAAGCCCACCAAAAGTTAGAATTACTCCCCTGATTGATCTTATCATCTAAATCAGAAATATATTTCAATTTGGCTGCTCTCACGGCTGCTGTTACTTTGTTCCGTAAAAGCCAAAACTTTTGCCAGTCTTTATCATAATTTCGAGTCTTTGCTTTCTTATGCTGTCTATTTCTTTTCCTGATAAGTATTCTTATAGCACTATTCATCCATGGATTGTCCCGAGGTCTTATAGTTACATTGTTTTGGACATAAATAACACATATATTTCTCAAAACATCAACAAATTCATGCGTTAGAATATCAATATCATTACATCTAAAGATGGAATCCCAGTCAGCGTTGTTAAGGCCTCGATTCATTCCCTCAGTATTAGCTAAATCATAGTAAAACACTTTCCTTTTAAATTTTAAAGGCGTTGAATCAGAGCCCCCAACAGATACAAAAACTGGACAATGATCACTGCAAAAAGGATCAAGCACACCCGAAGTGCGAATACAATTAGAGTTTGAAACAAAGATTAAATCAATTAACGTACTAGTCGTTTGGGTGATCCTTGTTGGTTCTGTGATACGTTGCTGTAAATCATATGTATCAAGAAGATTGTCAATCATGTTATTAGTCTGGTTATGTATATTGATGTTAAAGTCACCAGCAATAATAGTATCTATGCCCATGTCAATGCCATTACCAATTGATTGGAGGACTAGTTCCCAATAAAGATCACTTTTATCTGCTCTGTAACAATTTCCAATCAAATAGCTCTTGTTTTTAGACATAACTTTAACCCAGATCGCTTCTAAACCTAAGGGAGACAACTTATCAGCAAGCGTAACATGCAGGTTCTCTCTCACATAGATAGCAACACCTCCACCTTTTGATGGTCTATCCTTCCTAAAAGGGGCGTGGTAACCAGGGATAAGAATATTATTGTTATCAATTGTGACATTCAACCATGTTTCTGTTAAACATATAACATCATAGTCACTTAATTCTGCCTGGATTAAAGCAACTTTTTCTCTTAAGCTACGCACATTAAGATGAACTATTTCTAAGTCCGGATAAGCAAGTGGGCCTGGATTTGGGTCCACATCACCACAGCATAGGAGAATGAATAATATGATCAGCTGCACTTGTGGATTGTATAAACATAACGTCATTATGGCATATGAAGTTTTTTTAAATTTTGCGTAGGAATTTAACTGTAAAATCATTTTAAAAAACCCAATTGTCTGTCGGTATGTCGAGATATCAACCGGCATCGTCAAATATGAATATAAACAGATCAATTTGAGGACAGACGTGGTTATTTGTCAAAGGATGTGAAATACGCTCAGGTTGCTGCTTCCATTTCATCAAGATAACAAGTTTCACCTTTACAAGCTCAATGTGTGTATATTCAAAACACAGGAAACAAATATACAATGCAAATTCAACATAAAATAATTTCCATAAGTCATAATGGAAAATATTAAAATACTGTTGAGGGGCTTGAAATACTGGGGGTTGAAATAGAGAATTTTCATACAGTGGATAAGAAAAGAAAAGAGGGAAGAGAAGTAATATGCAGTAAATAGGGAAGTGTATACTAGTAAGGCTGACGATGCAATAAACTGTCAAGTAGTAAAACCAGTCCGAGCTGGTTTAGCTTTTAAGACAAGATTGCAAATGTAAATTCTCAAGGCTTGTACGAGCAAAAATAGAAAAGCATCGTAACTGTTGCCATTACATAATGATGCCTGGCTCATATAACAGAAAGCACGAGATAAGCGGACTTTCCGTGCTAACAAAATCCCAACGGGTCAGTTTTGTGAACATGTAACGACAGGAGCAGGCACTTTTCGGATAATATGTTACATCAATGGTAAGTAAATTCATTATTTACAAAATCATTTTATAACAGGATATGCTGGTAGTTGCCTTACTATTTTTATATGTGTCTATCAGTGAAACATTGACCGTAAACACAGCTGCTCCATGAAACAATACTGGTCCGTCCAATCAAGAGTACAGAATATACAAATATCACAAACGGAATCCCCCCAATGCACAGAGTGTCTGTGTAAATCCTCTGATGGAGCACTATTGAAAAAATGTCCTCCGTTATAGAAATAACATTAGTATACACAGTAATTTCTACATCTAAAGGACATGCGATCCACATAAGAACACATAAATGTATGTTCACTGAAAATATATTGTCAATCTGGCTCAACGCTACATGTTTTAAAGCATCGTAACGTTGCATTTTAGATTAGAACACATGGGGTTCTATATATAGCAGGCTCCCCACTGTTTCACTTATACATAAAATTATTGACTGAACAAGCATTTCTACTAGACTGATCTATGTTCGGGCTTTAAGATCTTCCAAACAAAGCACATACACATCAACATCTTGGATAGAAATGATGACGTCTATGTATTATTATTTACAAGCAAGCCACATGCAAGTGAAAGCACATTATATATAAGCAGGTAATAATTGTCTGGTGTTAGAAAAATACATGCAACGTAGCACCACAGACACTAAAACAACAATAATATGTAATAAAAAAGGTTTGTACCATGTTCGTTTGTGAGGCCTTGACAGTATTTCCTTTTTGTCCTGACTTTTCCTTAAAGTAACTGGAGTACTGAAAAAGAATTTTCTTTTAAGTTGAAGACATCAACTCAGTGCAACTGAAGAAATGAAACTTGCAGTCTTAGAACATCAGGAGCTGTTTACTAAGAGTGAAGACAACTGACCTTGATTGACAATCACACCAAAAAACCCTCTGTGATCTATGCTCATCTACAGGTATGTACGTTGCCTCATATTGACTACTTGAAATTGAATTATCAATTACATGTTGTTTTCTAAGTCCATATTTTATTTTGTTGAAGAAACCAGGACAAGATCACTTTTCTCTTATTCCTCTGGGATCAGTGCTTCTGCATACTTGCAGTAACATTCAAATAACCACCATCCATCTAGAAGCAGATAAAGTGGGGAGGTGGGTGGGATTACTCCTGATGTAATAGAGCTAATATTCTTAGAATTATCCACAATGACAAAAACATAATTTATAATTCCTGCAAATATGTTACCTCTATTACATTACTGCCTGAATTCACATCAGAGGATACTGTCATCTGGTAAATCTACACAGTTCATGTCAGTGAGACACAATACCCAAATTTAAAACACTCAAAAATGTCAAGGAAATGCATAAACCTGATATTTCACAGAAAAGTATGATTCTCTTGGCATTTATGTAATGTCACTTCTGGCAGTATCATGTCTTTCAAATGATCTCAACCCTGGTTCTCATAATGTCAGTTCCGTTTGCTGGAATGATCTCTTCTGATTCCAATGTCTAACATCCATGTTAATTTGACCAGTATTGATGTCACATTAGTCAGACTGTTGATCTTCTCCAGACGTTATTCTGCCCATCTGTTATCCCTGGATATTTCCTACCTCCAGAGGATTAAAGAGTATAAACAACCTTGATGATCATACAGAGATCAAACAATCCTATAGACTATGTGAAAATCAAAACATGTCAGCTGAAAATCTTTAATGGATATCAAACTCCCAAGCCATCTTCATAGATTAGATGATCTAGTATCAAATCCTGTTTTAAATAAACATTTTGCATAAGACAAAAAAATTCACATCTGACTTGAATCTGGCTCCGATATAACTGCCATGTTCTGGCTAGATTTCACAGTTCACTGTCAGCTGGTTTAGTTGTATGCACCCAGCAGTGAGATAACTGAGTAGCTGAACCATCCTTAGAGACTAACAATTTGACATTTGAGGTGGGGGTGGGAGTGGGGACAGTGAGACAATTACATTTATCTTAAATATACCTTGCAATAACATCATATTAGTGGTTGAAAAAATTATCTTTTGTGACAGTCTGAGACAATTTTTAAAAACATTTTTAGGAATATCTGCAATTTTTCGATAAAATACTGCCAATGATATCCCTTCCATACCAATTTCTATCCAATAAATTTGTCGGTTTCAGCTTCCAAAACATACATTACTGATGTTCTCTATCACAGATATCTATTTAAGATAAGTTTCAAACAGAGGTATGAGGGGCGATCAAAAAGTATGTATATTCTCGATGTCCAATGTTTGAAAGCTTCTATTTTATTTTGAAGGAATCATTAGCAAAGCCATATCCAAAATTTCACATATGTGGGTAATGGTCAACGAGACATTAGTCATCACAATACATTGGGGTATAATATTCCTAACAAAATTGCAGAAAATGAAAAACAATCTGTCATTTAGTACCTCTTGGATAATGGTATGCCCTCGGATAACATCATATAAAATATGTTCAGTATAGTATTGGATGACTTCCCATCATAATCAACAGTCAAAGATTTGGATTGCTTGATTTAGATTTAGACGAGGGCTGTTTTTTAAGGACACCCTCATTTTAGTCTTTTAAAAACATTGTCACCAGATTTCAAGCTTGTACTATTTACAATATATTGAGAGCTGACACTTGTGTGACAATTCAGTATTTAGTTTGGACCCTTGGCATCATGTATGAATAAGTGAAAACATTAGAATAAGTTATGTCCATATGATTAAGTCATCTGAAAGGGGGATGGGTAGTGTCTCCAAAACAAGCTCTTTCAGTAAACATGAAAGGGGGAGTCACTTTAACAAGCGATTGTAGTTTCAAGTTGCTTTTTTATGCACTTTAATATCTACCCTTGTTTTTATATCAAAAGGGGGGGATTTTGGCCTAGCTAGGCTCCTTCTTACCCACCATTGCAAACAAACATCAAACTGACAGTAGAACAAGTATATATAGATGACAACTTCTTTAATTCTAGAGCACACCGTTTCGATACAGGTTCTTGTATCGTTTTCAAGTATCGCATTCGTACAGTGAAAACGATACAAGAACCTGTATCAAAACGGCGTGCTCTAGAATTAAAGAAGTTATCATCCATATATACTTGTTCTATCTGACTTCTGGCTAGACCAAATTTTAGCCAGGCAAGGTTTGGCCAGGGAGAAAGTCTCCAGAGAATATGGAGACTCCCCAACACTATAGCCTTCAGCATTATCCAGAGTGTCAGAATAGTTGTGCTCCCAATGCAGAACATGGGCACTCTCCTCCTCTGCATTTGTTGGCAGGAATTTGTCCAAGGCTGTATATGGACCTAAAAGAAGTTTCAAAGCATCATTTTCAAGACACCCAGGACATATGGATCTCTGGGTCAAAGCCTCAAGTATAGGAAAGGCGGTAAGAGAAGCAATGAGCCACGCCATCATGTTGCTTAAGATATGCTGTTTGTGCCAAAGAATGACAGTCAATGACAAGTTGTTGAACAGTCTCAGCATATTCATTACCTAATCAGGATTTCATATTTACATTCTCTCTGGGAATCACATTTTGGTGATTGCAAGTGGGAAGTGACTGGTCCTGGGCAGCAAAAAGGAAGCCCTCTGTTTCCCTTTTACAACCTGCCGACTTCATCCAAGCAAAAGAGTTGGTTGGGTTGCTATTGGATTTGTTCCACACACTACATATACACATGGTGCAGTGGTTTACCAGAAAGCTGCTCTTAAATGCGTGACACAGGGCAGACTTGGTGAATGACTTTACCTGGTTTACTCCCATCGATGTACTGTCCAGCAGCACATTGCCACCGACAAAAATCAACCTCAATTTTGAGATTCTGTCCAACAACACTGGCGCACTTAAATAGCTTTGGAATTCCTTGCTTTCATCTTCAGTCATGCATCACAGGAGGGTGATCTGCACCAAGAGATCAGGAGGCACCAAACCAAGGACGCAGAGAAGAACGTGGTGTTGGCCAACCTTGTACATGGGGTGCAAGCGAAACATTTTAAAGGCGAGGTCCTGCCATGTTTTGCCTAAGACCTTGTCAATCACACTGCTGTCAAAAGGGACAGAACACTCAATCATATAAATGATTTCATTGGCTTTTTCAAAAAGGGCAAGATCAGGCCTGTTGACTTGGATTTGTCTGAAGCAGTATATGTGCATATTCTAAGGTCGGGGAAATATTTGAAAAACACAAACTTAACTTGATTTGAACTTCGTCTTAGCAATCATGCTCTTTCTCGTTCTCGTTTGTACATTTGTTGATTTTTTATTGTTTTAGTTTTTGGGACTGGCTGTGTTTGTTCAGGACAGGTCACATTTTTGGACAGCCAGTCCTTGGACAGGCCACATTTCAAAACTACTTTATACACTGGGGACAGTCTCATAAAATTTATTACATAGTCTACATTTCATGTTTACATTTTGATGTAAAATTGATGGCTACAAGTGGGAAGTGACTGGTCCTGAGCAGCAAACAGAAAGCCCTCTGTTTCACATTTCAGGACAACTGACTTCATCCAAGCAACGGACTCAGCAGGGATGCTCTTCTCTTCTATACAGTGGAGTAGAACTTGGTGCCATGTTCGTTCAGTGAGCCTTCCTTTGAAAAACTGATTCTGTGCTCATTTGATATGGCACTTCACTTGGTTGACATTCATTTCTGTTATGTCCAAAATTGCACAATAAATTTCTGTCATGAAGAGCCTCCAAATTAATCAAACCATGCACTCCCATTAAAATTGATAAATACAAACGATTGAATGAAGAGCAAAGGTCATGGGCTCTATTGTCTGACATGATTCTTCTTGTGAGGGTGTCAATACTCTTAATTTCTTGTTTCGTCCAATCAACAATACCAGTAGTACATTATGAAATCTTACTGTTGACAAAATCACCATAGTTTGGAATGCCTTGGTGCTGAATTAAAGTATTATCAACAATGATAATAATTCTTAGAATACTACCTCTAACACTTGATTGATTTTTCCACTTAAACTTGTTTCTTGTATACAGGTTTATTGAATAAATTTTTCAAACATCTGTTGAGTTGCGTAATCCTTCCTCCTATCATTGTTGATAATACTTCAAAATTCTTATGAATACGTCCCTCTAACACTTGATTACAGAATCCCACATTTGCTTGGAAGACAACTATAGAACTTACAAATCTAGATGTTTACTGATTAGACAAATAGACCTGCAATAAGTTGTTGTGACAACCCTACAGAAAGTCTCTTGCTGTTGAAGTTATTGCATTGGTGGACTGTGATGTAATTCGCGGTTATTGATATCTCAGATGATGACACAGTGAGTTCTGATGACATAACAGATCTTAACAGATGTCTGTCTGAGAGTCTCGGAAGAGCTTGCCCTATCTGAAGAGTGAGGTGAGTGTGGCTGGTGAGCACCATATCATTAGCCTGAACAGCATGGCTGGTGTGGTCTGTATGGCAAAGCTGGTCTGGTGGCTGGTGAGGTCCATGCATATAGGCTGGTCCATACAGCTGGAGGTGTTAACCTGAGACTGATGATTGGTGTGGTCCATGCAGCCAATCTGTCCCATGTGACCGAGAAAGTCTGTGCGGCTAGGCTCCATGTGACTGGTGAGGACTGTGCAGCTGGTGAAATCCACGCCATAACTCAGGCCAAAATCAGGTTGCAAGGGGATCAAGTCATGGGACATGACTTGTCTTGATTGTTCATCATGTGGATCTTGTGCTGTTGCATCCAAGCATGAAGTTATCATCATTAGGCCAAATCAAGTT